CGGCAACGGGATCGCAACCCTCGGTGTTGCTCCCGCGCCTCGCTCAGCCAGTGAGCGGGAACCGGTCTGTATGTGGGATCCGAACCCTCGGGCGGGAGCGCCACCACAGTTCCCAAGCGGCGCACTATCCAGTGCGCCACCGGGCCGGCCCTCCCACAACACTTTCTGCCACATTCCTCCTTCATCATCAAGAACCCAGAGGGCTCCCCCTCCCTGCATAGAGTAATCCCAGCACCACAACGATCCTAGCAACAAACAGCAGGCCTGCCCCCAGCTTCTTCAATCTCAGCTCCATTACTCCCAAACAATCTCCTGTTTATTCCGGAGCACAGTCAGCAGTGGCCCCTTCTCTGAGCCTCCTCCTTCTCAAAACCCGCCACCTGCAGGAAGCTTTCTAGTCAGGTCTAAGGAAACCACTGAACCCGATGGGGGGCTGCAGGGACAGCACCCTCATTGAACAAGCACACTGGATAGAGCCTGGTATACAGGAGACACCACTATAATGGGGCAGGGGACAGGAAGAGTGGCTCTAGAAAGGTACCAAGCACCATGGGACTTATTCTCTGGTGAGGAAATGCATACCTCCAAACCTTCCTGAGTTGAGAGAGGGAGGTCCTTCATTTGCACAGCAACACCCACCTCAATACACATGCTCTCAGACAGGCTTTTCTGGCACAGCTTTGCTCACTTAGATAGCTTTCATAAGGGCAAATGCCCATCACAAAGCATAAGACAGATGGCTGGAGAGAGGGGGACAGGGCCCAGCTGCCTGACCCGAGTCCCAGAGCCCATGTTGCAGACTGCCCAGACCCACTGGTTCTATGCCAAGGCCTGTGCTGCAATGTGCCTGCCAACGAGTGTTTGTCCTGTTGCTATTTCCTATCTTAGTTCTCTCTCCCCGGGGAATCTCAAGCTCCATGAGGATAGGAATAGCACTTCAAGTCTCTTGCATTTTCCCCAGATGCACATGTGGGTAGGCGGTGACCAGCAGAACAAAGACAGATTGATCTCTAGCTCAAAGAGCCTGATCTAATGACGAAGTTCCCTCCTCCGGGAACCTCCCCCCCGGACAAATCCCTCCCAACCCAGAGCTGTCCACAGAGGGTAGTGAAATCTGTTCTTGGGGTCCTGGTAACAGTCTAAGTATCCCCAGGGCCTGCCAAGGATATGACTCTGGAACTGGGAAATGATGCTTTCAGTTCCAAGCAAAGGGTAGTGGGGGCAAAGGCTGGGCAGTACACTCCCTCACCCCTGCCACCCCCACCCCCCACACACCTGGATTAACGCCCCGTGATTCCAGCAGAGCAGGAAGCAGAATCTCAGGACCCAGGCTTTTGGTTACAATAGGAGCAGGAAGCCTGAGGCCATTCCTCATCCCATTCATTTGTCATTCTCCCACTCTCAGATAATCAATAGCCAGTTAGCAAAACTGTGCAAGCTCCAATTAGATGAATTACCTGATCAATAATTGCCAGTCAGGAACTCTTGGGCAAACCTACAGACTTTTAGAAAGAGTCTTTCCTCTGTCAGCATGTCCTGGGAAACCTCCCTCCCTCCCTCCCCTAGCTAAGCTCAATAACCCCTCTGCCAGCTGGACCCTCAGCAGACTGGCACCACACAGAACTCCAGGGGCCAGAGCTCGCAGAACACAACCAACCTCTCAACATTCAGACACTCACAGATCTATTTTAAAATTTAAGTTGCAGCTACAACCTCAAATAGTTCTCCAGAGCCTCCTATCAGGACAATCAACCTTCCCAAGTGCCCCTACCGAACCCTCTGTCTGAACTCAGTTATACTCAAATATGAACCTGTCCTTCAGGCTACTGACCCCAAGCCTGCCTCCTGCCTTCTCCCTCCTGTACTTTTGTAGATACCATTCGTTTTCAGTTTGACTCATCTGGCCATCCTCCAAACTCCAGGACCAAGTCCCACCTTCTCCCTGACCACCCCAGCCCATTATTTTGGCACCTACTTAAAAACTCATTCCTCAAAACATGGTCTGCAGACCAGTAGCATCAACACCTCCTGTATGTTTGTTAGAAATACAAATTCTCAGGCCCTACCCAGACCTATTGAATCAGAATCTATATTTTATGGTGCTGATAACACCCAGGCCATGGGTTCAGATCCCTATATAGGGATGGCCGGTTGGCTCAATTGGAAGAGCCTGGTGCTGACAACACCAAGTCAAGGGTTAAGATCCCTTTACTGGTCATCTTTAAAAAAAAAAAAAAAAAAAAGAATTCATATTTTAACAAGATACCAGGGGATTTGTATTAACATGAAAGTCTGAGAAACACTGGCCTCTACCACTCCCTGGCAGGGCCTTGCTTTCTCTTTACTTTTCTGCAGGAAAGTGAGGGCAGACATGACTAGAATAGAGACCCAGAAAATCACCTCTTCCAACCACTCCCTCCACAACCAGGTGGCCCCCGTGGAAGCAGAGGCAGCACCTTCTTCAAGTCCCTGCCAGGACCCTGGCATGCTTTTACAGCTTTATCCCAGAACACTGGGAGAAGCTTTCTTATCATCAGTTTATACTTATAGAATCGTGCCAACCCGGTAGCCAATCCATAGCTGAGAAAGTAAACGTCAGGGCATTAGCTCAGCATTACTGAGGGAGGACCATGGTCAGCATCAAGAGTCTCATCCCCAAGTTGTTCCTCTGCCACCACCTATGCCTGCTCCTCTCTCTCCTCCCAGGCCCCTCTTAAAAACATCAAAAGCTCACACTTGCCCTGAGGATTGTGGGAAACAAATCCAATGTTTTAATTGAGACTTGAAGCAAATCCAATTGCACTAGAATGGGTCCCAAAGTAGACTTTTCACAGAGTATCAGGGGACTACACTCTGGCTTCCCAAGCTCTTGTTCAGCACCAGCATGGTCCCATTTACTGCCCAGCACAGTGGGTATGAGAGAGTCAGATTTTTGCAGGAAATCTCCTGCAGATCTCCACCCATCCACTTAAAATCTGGGAGTGACAATAGGCCAGGACTGAGCTTTCCATGAGGCTGACAACTCTGAGGTAAGCACCAGATGGTCCACAGTGACCCCTTTACCTCCAGGCCCACAGGCCCCAGTTGTTGGTGTAAACATTCACCACCTGTCTCACTTCCACCCGTGCCTCACCTAAGAGTAGGACAAAAGATGCCCTCCCCTGTGCCTGTGACAGAGCTGGCCTGAAGAGAAAGGCTTCCCTCTCTTCCTCAAATGACCTTTGAGACACATGACCTGGGAATCACCCTAGGAAATGCCAGCCCTCACCCCCATGGGAGGGAAGTCCTTGACTAACCCCATATCCACACCTGGAAGCTGACAGGAAGGGTGATGCAGCACAGGACCTCAAGCACTGAAGGCAAAGTGGCATGACGCTATTGGGTAACTCCTGCAGGAAACACTGCTCTGGGTCTGCCAGCTAGGGCCAGAGAGGGCCTGGCCCAAAGCCCTGGGAGAAAAGCTGGGCTGCAGAAAGGAGCTGCTGCCATAGCTCCTTCCCCTCCATGTAGAGGCATGGACAGTGCTTCAGCAGGCCCAGGCTTGAGGGGAGCACTTTGTAGGAAGCACTCTGGGGAAGTGCCTCACTGCCCTGGCAGAACCCTAGCATCTTGCAAAGCTCACCTCACCTCCCACATAAAGCCATCATCCATGCTCTTCTTCACAGCCTCCCCAGCGCACCACTGTGCTCCAGCTTTCAGCACTTGCTGTTTCCTGCAGTCAGCCTTGTCTCCTACCCAGTCAGCAGCCTTCCTAAGGATCTTTTCCTGAACCTTTCTTCAGCTCCCAGCAGTGCTGAAACTTAACAGATTTTTGCAGGTTATCAGGACTATCAATGGATCCAAAGATACAAACTGTGACCTGCTGGTTGAATCTGGCCCTCAGGTTAGGGTTTGTGCCACACAAGGTGTTGTTTAAATATGTAAATTAGATTCCAACATTTTAAGATCAGATTTTCTGGCTTCTCTTTCAAAAATTGGAAGACCTGGATACATGGGGTTCTCATTGTTGCATGATAAGACTAAACAGAGATAAGAAGCAGCTGCTCCTTGAGACAGGGCACGTTCACTCCAGCTTGCTCAGGGCCCTGTGGAGCAGAAGCTGGGGAGGCCCTGCCCCACATCCACTCAGCCCATCTCTGAGCTCACCTGCAGCTTCGGTGCACCACTCCTGTGCCTGGTGACAGCTTCTCACTGCCGGTGCCTACATACCTCTGTTTCTCTACCTGAGGACTTTCTCCAGCACTAGCTGGTATTTGGGACAGCTTGGAAGCGCCAAGGATTTAATGCCCCCACAGAAATTCTCAACCCATGAGGTACAGCAGTTGGTGAATTTTTTAAAAAACCACTTCCCTGCTCTTCAGTGGTATAATTCTGAGGCATGTTTCACATGATTATGCACAAGGTCCCCAGTGGAACTGAGTTCTAGTGGCCCACAGTGATGGTTCACTCCTTAACTGGCTTTCTCCCTTTCCTGCTTCACTTTCCCCATTCCTTCACTTGTGATTACTGGAATCACATCCTAAATAAACTATCTGCTCCCAAGTCCTGTCTCAGGGCTCACTTTTGGGGGAACCCAAACTAAGACACTCTGCTAGTCTCACTTCTTCATTTTTACGTTACCTGCCGGGCCCTCATGAGCATGGCCCTCAGCACTTGCCTCTTACTGACAGCTGCAGGATATACCCCCCAACACCCAAAAGTCTCCCCATCATCCATGGGACAGGGGCAGGACAGACTCACCTCCCCCGAGTAACTGTACTTGCCCCTGAGGATCTGTCGGTACAGCCGGGTGCGGTTGTCGTCCTCAAAGGGCATGGTGCCACTGAGCAAGATGTAGGCGATGACGCCCAGCGCCCACATGTCCACTGAGTTGGTGTAGGGTTTGCGGACCAGCACCTCGGGTGCAATGTACTCAGGTGTGCCGCAAGTGGTCTTCATCAGGCAGTCGTCACCCTTCTTGCGGGCACTGGCCAGGCCAAAGTCGGTGATGATGATCTTGGAGTCAGTGCCTGGGTGGTAGTAGAGCAGATTCTCAGGCTTGAGGTCTCGGTGTGTGATGCCCAGTGCATGCAGATACCGGACACCATCCAGCACCATCTGCAGCACCCTAGTGGCATCACGCTCAGTGAAGGAACCCTTGGCAATGATGCGGTCGAAAAGCTCTCCACCAGTAGCCAGCTCCATCACCATGTACACACGCTCCTGTGTCTCAAACACCTCCACCAGCTGGATGATGTTGGCGTGACGCACCCGGCGCAGCACACGCAGTTCAGACTCACATACTTCCCGCCCCTCCCGGTACTTGGTCTCAATCATCTTGATGGCATACGGCTGCCGGGTTGCCCGGTGTTCCACACGTACCACTCGGCTGAAGCTGCCTCGACCAATGAGGGCCTTGATGTCGTACTTAGCTGTCACACGTGGGTCGAACTTGGCCCTGTACTTAGCCACCCTGGCCCTGCGCGGTGGCTCTGAGGGAGGCTCTGTGTGGCCAGTGGTGGGGGCACCGGGGCAGGGGTGTGCATACTGACCAGCTGCTGGGAAGCCAGCTTTGAGAGGGCCAACATTGTCCACCGCCGTGATGAAGTGCTTGTATACATCACTCTTAGTGCCACTGAAGGGCTCCACCTTCTTGACCAGATCCAGCTGGACATCCTTGGGCGGCTCAGGAAGGACCTTGCTTGTCCCACAGCCCATCACGGACAAGGGGGCATCCTCTCCAGAGAGGCTGGCAGGACCTGCTCTGCAGGCAGCGTCCCGTCTACACCTACGTAGACAGAAGAGATGGCAAGACAGCATAGTCAGGGACACCTCTGAAGGGAAACCAGCCATTCTCCTCAGCCCTACCCCTTTACCCCTCAATAAACGTAGTCCAAGACTGAAGACCTAGCTCCCTGGAAGGGAGGGTAGCTTTGGCCCCTGAGTGCTTGGAGCCCAAGCTCAGTGGACAGTTTTGTTGAAAGACTGGGTCCAAGCTCCATGGCCTTGACTTACATCTCCCTGGGTCTCAGTCTCACACTTCAACCCTCAGAGGGTGCAGGAACACTTACCAGGTCAGCTGTCATGGCCCCCACCCTTCTCTCTACTGTACCTGGTTCCCTTATCCTAGTTGAAATCTCATGTTTCTTAAATGTTAAAATCATTCCTCTTATTACTCTGACTCATCTTTTCTGAAATGGGGGTGTGGAGTGTTAGAGGCCTGCTCTCCAAACCATCACCCACCAGAGCTCAAAAAGCTGCTTCTCCAAGGCCTCCTTCATGGAGATATCTCCCAGCCTTCTAGGCCTCCTGCAGGGGTTAGTCGCTCCTGCAATAAACAACAAACCACTACTCCAGTTCTCTGCCCTAACCTCACTCTTTCCTGGATGGCTTCCACTACTTTGCTTATGTACCATCTTCACCCTGGTAATTTAACACCCTGCTCCAGCCTCTCACTTCCCCAGCTCACCAGATGGATGGCTGAAATCCCACACAAGGCCCTGAGCTGGCTGGAATCAGTCCCAGTGAGCTTAGGACCACAAGCCTCAGCACAATGCCACCAGGTAGCTGCAAAACCAGCCTGGACTTCGTTCAAGAGGCAGAGGGGGCCTTGGACTCAGAGAGGACACTGGCAGTTCCACCCAGATGTGACCCAGAATGTAGATCAGCTTCCTTGGGATGAAGATCCAGGAGCCCTCACCATTTGTTACCCAGACAGGGATGTTTGGACCATTAATACACTGGGGCTGGTGGGGCCTGGACAAGGTGAGGTGTTGAAGTTACTGCTTTCCAGAGCTTATCACCTTTCTACCTAGATTGCTCTTGTCTAAGTATACCTGAGGTTCCCATGGGTTGAAGAAGACAGCTGAGAATTTCGGTTATGAGATACAGAATAGGGAGTGAAATGATCAATTCAGATCAAACACTTATTGAACATCTACTAGGTGCTAGGAATACAAGAATGAATAAGACACTGTCCAATGTGGGTTATATTTTAACACACAACAAAAGTAAAACATGATCAATAAACTCACAGTCTAAATGAAAGAGAAAAGCAAAAAAAAAAAAAAAAAATCATTTCAATACAGCATGGTAAGTGTTAAGCTTGAGAAACAACAGTAGATACATGTAGAGTGACTCAGGGGTTAGGGAAAGCTTCCTGAAGGAGGTGACCCCATGCTGAATCCTGAGGCAAGAATGAGTCAGGTGAGGAAAGGTGGGAATGGTCTTTCAGGCTGAGAGAATAACATACTCCAAGGCCCAGAAGCCCAGAGTAATATCCTGCACCTGGGAGTGGGCAGTTTAGTGGTGCAAAGCCAGGGATGGAGAGCTGAAGTTTTGGAAGATCAGCAGGCGCCAGGTTATGGAGAGCAGCACTAGTCATGGTGAGGACCAGGACCTTCTTGGAAGGTGACAGAGAGCTTCCAAAGGGTTTATGAGGAAAGAAAGGTGATCAGATCTGTTTAGAAAGAAGGGTGAGGTTGAACTAGAAGAGGGGCAAAGCGGAATAGAAGGACCAGTGAGAGGGCCAGCCCCGTGGCTCACTCGGGAGAGTGCGGCGCTGGTAGCACCGAGGCCGCAGGTTCGGATCCTATGTAGGGATGGCCAGTGCGTTCACTGGCTGAGTGTGGTAGAGACCACACCAAGCCAAGGGTTGCGATCCCCTTACCGGTAAAAAAAAAAAAAAAAAAAAGGACCAGTGAGAGTGTGGTGCCCAGATAGTGGGGTGGAATCGAGAGATGTTGGCAACAGATCTGACAGGGAGTAGAGGCTGCAAATGAGGGGTGGAAGGGAGGAATGCGGGCAGCAATCCAGTCCCTCACTCAGCTCCTGGGCAAAGGGTCAACAGTGCAACAAGAGGGACAGATTTGGGAAGAAGTAGGAAGAGTTCAGTTCTGGATGTGTTGTAGTGCATGTGGGATGTCCGTGTGACATTTATCGTGGGTCGCCGGATATACAATCTGATGTCCTAAAAGAGCTGGACAGGGACTCCATGGCTGCCCAAGGATAGTAGTTGGTGCCAATGGGCAACAGTTACAACTCCTCACCCCCTTGTGAAGCCAGCAACCAATCCAATCAAAGGCAGCAGACGAGACCCAGGCAGGTTTTATTGCAGCACCTTTGGGATCATAGAGAACCCTCGGAGGCCCTCAGATTACAGTGACTCAAGGGCCTGTATTCAGGATGATGTGACCAGTACTGACCAATACGGTCAACACTTTCAAGCAACAAGCTCATCACTGAAACATACCCAAGACAAATACATCAGATAAAAAGGAGGAGTTTATAGACCACAGATTAAGGGTTCAGGTTATGATTCTAAGCAGAATGATCTTTCCTCACATGAGAGGGAAAAAATTCCTCCACCAACAAAAGACTCTTTCGGATTTGCTGCAGTTCTCACCCAAATGCCCAGGAGGTCCCACATGTCTCCATATGGCAACTTAGGAAATAATGTTTAAACAAACGCATTTAGAAATGAGGTTCCTTTTTACAGAGGCCAAAGATTAGAACTACGGACTGTGGAATTTTGCAGACTCATCTCTTCCTTCGGGGAAAATACAAGACCTCAATGCAGTAAAGGATTGAAGCTCAGGAACGGGGAAACTCTGGGGCTAGTATTTCTGAGGCAGAACACAGGCCCCTGACTCCTGATCCCCAAGTCTATTCAGTAACAATATCTACTACCATTCACAGGGAAGACAACTGCATGGGTGATCCAGCACAGCCACTCAGATGTCACTTCTTCCTGGTGAATAGGCAGACTCTAGATTCACAAAACAAATAGCTGTCTCCAAGCACGTGCACTGGCTCTTTTTGTTGAAAAGAGTATACTAAGTCTGGTCCTGATGAGAAAAATTAAGGTTTACAGAAGAAAAGAACCAACTTTTCACTTTAAACAAGCAAAGCCTGCACAGGATTCTAAAGTCAGCAGTAAGAGAACCAAGGTTTTTCCCTCTCTGACCTGCCTCCTCTCTTCCTGGGACACAGTTTCTCTCCCATTCATTCCAATTAGAAACTCTTTAGGGCTGGCCGCTTAGTTGGTTAGAGTGCAGCCTTATAACACCAAGGTCACGGGTTCAGATCCTAGTACCAACCAGCTGCCCCCGCAAAAAGAAGCTCTTCAAAGATAGTCTGATGCTGATACTCCACCATCCCCAACCACAGACTGAAAATGGAGAAGAAAGAGTGCTAGCTTGGAGCAGGGGGCAGGGGACATGGGCAATAGCCACCAGGTGATCACAGATACTCCACACTCCCATCACATCTGTTAAATTCTCTTTCCACGTTGGTTAGGTAAAAATGCAGACATAGGGCTGGCCCGTGGCTCACTCGGGAGAGTGTGGTGTTGATAACACCAAGGCCCCGGGTTCGGATCCTATATAGGGATGGCCGGTTTGCTCACTGGCTGAGCGTGGTGCTGACAGCACCAAGTCAAGGGTTAAGATCCCCTTCCCGGTCATTTTTTTAAAAAAAAAAAAAAAAAAAAAATGCAGACATAGAGACAAGGAAGTGGCTGGTAAATCTCCAGGGAAGGAGGACAGACCTTTTCCTGCTCCCAGCTCTCTTGTGTATGCCCCCAGAAGTCACCAGGGTGAGTGTAGTGATGGGTGAGGATGAGTGAGGAAGTCTGAGGAAGAGACCTCCCAGGTGGGTCACACTACAATAGTTGTAACAAGTCACTAACCCTAACAAATCTTGCAGAAAGTACCCAACTTTGTAGAGTCTGCTTCCACACCTTCAACTCCTAGCCTGATCCAAAGCACTCCTCAAGGAAAGCAAGCACACCAGACAGAGTGTGGCAGTGGGTGTGAGCATTCAGCCCTAGTGTCCTTTCAGTTAGTGTCACTACAGAAATGACACGCCAAGAGAGATAAAGAGACTTATCCAAAGCCACTAAGATAGTGGTGGCTGAGCATGAATCCAAATCTTCTGGCTTCCCATCCAGGGTTCCTTCCACCACACAGGAAAGACTCCAGAAGTACCTGGGGTCCAACAGAGCTTGGCTTCAGCAGGTCAAGGCTTCAATCCCTCCCCATACTACTGATCTGGTGAATCATCAATCCTTTACTGAGGACCTTTTCTGAATGGCCTGGCTTCAGAAACCTCCATTCCAAATACAATTTGGGTTACGCTGCTCACTGCTCTACTCTAGATTTTCTTTGATCACCTCAGTTGTCAGCCCCTTGAGGAAGTGGCCATTTCCCAGGTTTCCAGAATTCCCTTGGTACCTAGCTAAGTGCTGTGCTCAGAAGAGGCATTCACGATGAATGAAACTGGTTTGGCTCTTGGATTTCTACTTGCTGCAAGGTAACAATTCTAGAACCTCAAAAATTTTCAAGGGGCAGGAAGAGGCCAGATCAGTGGTTAAACCAGAGCCATACTCTGAACACTGGTATAAATGTCCTCAACAATGAGGGAAGCCTGTTTGGGTTTTACAGATTTTTTTGTTTTATTTTGCTTTTCTAAATCACACTCAGTCCTCAGTCTCAGTTTTCTTTTGGCTGGCTAGTACAAACATTTATTTATTTATTCTTTTTTTTTTTTTTTGGCAGCTGGTCAGTACAGGGATCCAAACCCTTGACCTTGGCGTTACAAGGCTGTGCTCTAACCAACTGAGCCAACTGGCCAGCCTCTGAATTTCACAGATTGTTATCCAAACTCAAAGCAAGTTTGTCCACAAGCTGCCACCATTTATGAGGAAAGCTGGGGACCCAAGAGCAGGGGGAAAGGATGGATACTGAAATAATTTCCTGACCACAGAGGCTGAGTTTGTCAATGTT